AAGAACTTGAAGCGCGTAGCCAAGGAGATTCAGACGCGTTTTGTCAAAGCTCTGTATCCAATCCGAGCTCCGTCAACCCGAGAAATGCCACACAGTGCGACTGGTAAGTTGTGGTGTGGGTATGCATGGGTACACATGCCGACGTTAGTAGACAGGGCTTTTTGTAGAGAGGAAAGGAAGTGCAGTGCTCAACAGCAGACACTCGCGCAAGCACAGACAGAGACTGAAAAACAGCCTCCCAGTGTCTCCCTGTCCTCCGGTTCCCCTGAGAGCCGACGTAGACACAGTAACTGCAGGAGCTCGGCGAGCGCATGACAGACGAGGCGACTCGCGGGATGCGCCGCCGCCCCTGTGCCCTCAGCTGCTTTTTGTTTGGCGCCTGTCGCAAGGAGCTCCAGGAGATGATCGATGAGGCCGATCGCGACGGCGACGGCGAGGCACACATAAATTCCGCTGGTTTCAGAGAGCTTCGTTTGCATGCTTGCGCTTGCCGTCCGCTTGCCGTCGCCGACGTTAAGCTCCGGAGCTGGTGCGAGGTTAACGAGGAGGAGTTCCTGCGTATTATGAAGAAGACGAACCTTTTCTGAGCCATCTGGCCCTTGGGGTGGCAGTCGAGCGTTCACAACGGCTGGGAGGAGCACTGGAACCCGGCAATCGTAGGAAGTGCCTTGTGGAATAAGAAGACCGGAAGACCGGGCATCAACCGGCGGCTCGAGTCTTCTCTGGCTGTTGTTTCCGACTCACCACTTCCTCATGGGAATGCGATCGTGTTCCTGCTGATGTCCCCGTTTGCGTTCAGATGCAGCGTGCACGGAAGCAGAGACTCCCATGTGTGCATGCTCTAAGAAGCCAATGCCTCTGGCTCCCGGTTCACATGTTCAGAATCAGCGCAAATACTTGTGCAGCTGATTGCAGCTTTTTACGAAGTGATTCATCCCGTGCCGGGAGTCCAGGAGACCGAATGTATCCTAGGCCTGCACCTGCTCCATTCACACTGACAGAATTGAAGTGGGACGCAGCGTACAAAAAAGTGGGACGGGGGCAGTCAGTCTGAACTTCTTTTCCCTCACAGTGCAGGGCTTCCCGTTGCTGATCGTTGCTGACAGGTGGCATAGGTACCCGGCACTTGCAGATCACGCCCTCAAGCCCAGCCCGAACCGCCACTCAGTTTTCCAACCCTCACACGCAATCCCACCACCCTCCACCCTCCAGACGAATGACGAAGAATGCGCAGGCGGAGCCTCACGCTCAAGAAGCGCTGCTAGGGGGATCGTCCGGGGGCCCATGGGAGAGTTCAAGGGACGCCCGTTCGGGGCTTGACGGGTTGACTTCGCGTTCCGATGCGGGGGCACTTCAGGTTGCTGGGTAACTGGGGTAGCCACAGCCGTGTAGCGACCGGTGCGCGAGTCATATCATATCATGCCCTTTGCTTTCTAGCGGATTCTACCGGTCCAGGCCAAGACAAAGGCCAACGAGGGAAGGCAAGGGCTAGAACAGCTGTGCCGAGGCTTACAGAGATCGTCAGAATTTCTTCGGTAGAAACTGGCACAGGGCTCCGCAGCCGCCCGCACGCCTTCCGAACGCCGGGCACCTGTCATGTGATTCTTGGGACTAGGTCGTTTTCAAGGTTCGGGTCCAAGCTGCTCGGTGCAGCTCTGATGCTGCAAACACGGCCTACACTGACGTGGTTGCGTTGGAATATCCCATATGTCAGTCAATTAGACACATTCGCCGAACCTCTGTCAATTTCATGCTTATCGCTTCCGTCCGTGTTTCTGTGGCCTGCTGGAGCTTCTTTTTTTTTGATTCTTCTGCTGTTGCTATCATATACTGATTCTTGTCCTGACCTCCGTTGGTGTCCAGGCTCTTGCGGGCTCGATCAAGACTGCCATCTCAATCACTTTGGTGATGCTCACTCGCTGGGAACATTACCACCATGAGCTCTTGTTGCTCTTGCGGTCGTTAAAGCTTTGCTTTCTGATGATGGTGACTGTTACGGACATTGGGGCTGTTTCGTACTACAGCGGCGATCAAGTTTTGTTGTCCCTTGTTGTCATTACAGCTGCTGCTGCTGCTGCTGCTGCTGCTGCTGCTACAGTGGTGACTGGTGTTCCAATAACTTTCTAGTTTTGCTCTTATCGGCGTTATTATTTGCAACATGAATATCGCCATTCTCAGCATACAGGAATCATTGCTGGCTGGCCATAGCTGTCGGTCTTTGTCATAATTATGAGCAGTGTAATTGCTGCTCAATACTATCAGATTTGCTTTTCTATCAATCAGGCTACTGTTACCACCGGTCCAATTGGAATCATATGTTTTTTGCTGGTCCCTGTTTTTTCGGTGGTCCTGCTTTCCGTGTCATGGCTTTTATGAGTACAGCTTCGATTGAAGGCAGGACGACCATGTCAGCAGCGAGCTGCCTGAGACTCGCTGCTCGCCGAATCGTACTTTGCAAGTTTGTTTTCATTGGGTGCTTCGCTTCCCTGGAATGCATAGAGAAACTCAATTCCGTTTCGACGCAGGTTCTTGGAGAACCCCAGCAGAGGCAAGTGGAGTGCGGTTTTTCTATCACTTCAAGACAGAGCGCCCGCTTTGATTGAAACTCCCAACCGCCCGCCAGATGTGGGGTCAGGAGTGCGACCGGAATTGGCCGTTCCTGCCCACGTTGTGATTAAGTGCGGAGAGACCACAAGCAGGTGGTTAGTCCAATTGCCTGCAAAACGGCGGAATGAGTGCTTTCAAAGGGTGGGTGACGGCGTTAGGCTAAAGTGATACGACTGAAAGGGCAGATTGTCTTGATGCCTGCAAAGCGTGACCAGCCTGCTTTCCAAGCAAGGTTTGACCAAACAAGAGTAGAGTCAAATAGAAGGTGAACGAATACTAGTCACAACATCGGTCATATCTCTGTTCGACGATCCTCAGCTCTGCAGATCGATGCCTTGCTGCGCGTCGACGCAGCTCCACTGCCAGAGTCTCCGAAGCCTGGCCGAAAGATTTCGGTCGTGTGTGTTAACAGGTTTGAGATTCTATGGTCTTGGCCATGCGGGTAGGCGGCAACAAGCGTGCATCGTTCCAGGAATGAATGAGTTTCACCCATTATGCAGTCGCGGCCAGGTGCAGAAAAGTAGCTCTGGCTGATGCCCCGCTGCTCGCCGTGGAGGACTTTGGGCACGCCCCGACACTCCAGAAATTTCAAGGTTGTCGGCCACTGCACCGTCCGTGTAATAAGCCCTGGCCGAGAAGTTTGGTTCTGCTTGCACGGAGGAAGCGATTGGGGAACCAACCCACCATGAACCGAAAGTGCACGCGCAGGCATGGGCTTCAAAAGTTTTTGAGCAGCTGGAAGGAACTTTTCAGGATTGGGGAGCGTGTGTCTTGCAGTCCTGGTTCCAAACACCACGCAAAAGCTGCACGCTTGTCTGATGCACCCGGCGAGCGGCGATCGGTAACGGACAGCAACGCCAAGACTGAGTTTCCGAAAAGCATGCCCCAAAACTCGGAGAACTCAACTGAACTCCACACGGAACGTGAGCCGAACAAGTGTTGGCGAGGCAAAGCGCCGCCGTGCTTGGCGCCGCCGTTCGGCCCCGCTCAGGCGGCCAGGGCGGCGCAGCCGGGCAAAGGCCCCGGAAGAGGCTCGGGTGATGGTGTCCTGTCAAGATCAGAGAGATGTAGAGAAATCAGAAGACTTTACCAACGGCAGCTGCTTTCGTCATCAGTTTTCATCGTCGTCACCAGGCTGCTCCTCCTGTTATCCACCCTGCTCCCCCAGTGCACCCCTGTCCATCGGCAGCGTGACCACGATGATCATGACCATGACGGTATATGACGGTGATGATGATCATGATTATCCGTATCGCAATGGTGGTCCTCGTCGTCTTCCTCGTCGGCGTAGTCATTCGTAATATCGTTGTCGTTGTGGTTGTTGGTTGTTGTTCGTGGCGCCCTCCTCCTCCGCCTCCTCCTCATGCTCCTCATCCTCATGCTCCTCATCCTCATCATCCTCATCGTCCTCGTCCTCGCCCTCGTCATCGTCGTCGTCGTCGTCCTCCTCCTCCTCCTCATCCTCATCTTTCTCCTCCTCCATCCTCATCATTCTCATCATTCTCATCGTCGCAGCAATCCCCAGCTTGCAATCCACAGCATTATCATACTCGTCGTCATCATCCTCAACCTCATCGAACACCACCTGCTGCTCCTCCTCATCATCATCCTCCTCCTCATCATCATCCTCATCATCCTCGTCATCCTCATCATCATCATCATCATCCTCATCATCATCATCATCACCATCATCATCACCATCATCATCGTCATAGTCATCGTTATAGTCATCGTCACCATCGTCATCGCTAAACCATGCAATGGATCAAAACCAGCTTCGGGTTGCTTTGCCACCAGAAGGTTGAAATCCCGAATCCATCACATGGCACTACCGGTAGTGGGCTTTTTTGACGGTCTTAGCACAGCCGGTGCCAGACATAGCTTTCGAGCTCGACTGTGAGGCATGGGGGTGTGTTTTGAGTGCTGTGTAGTCAACTCAAATCGGTGAGAAGCCACTCCAGTTCGAACATGGCAAGCTTCTTCGCCAGCGCCAGGCGGAGGAGAGTGCCCATCCTGAGCATCAGCCGACAGAGGCAGCATTTGTGGCAGAGGCGGAGTTGCACCACCGATGCGCTGAGGCTGTTGTCTTTTCAAGCTGTCTACCTGCAAGAAGGCTTATGGCTACGGGTTCTATCGGCCATGTTGGGATTGGCCTTTATCACGACTCGAGCCCTGTCCGCACGAAACGGGAATAAGTCTGCTGCTCGCTAGCATGCTGACCGCTGTGACCCCTCAGCTGTGGATGCTCGTGATGCAAATCCCTGTGGCTAAGACCCTGAGGAGAAGAAGCTGCGACTGTTGGAGCTAGATCGCGAGCTGATGAAGGCCAGTTGGAAGAATCTGGAGCGCTCCTACATTAAATGTGGCAGAGTTGTTGGGCCGAGGCGGACCGGGAGGAGATGGAGAGCCTCTTGCAGGAAGCATGCGACTCGGCTCCGGACTGGCTGTCAACGTAGCGAAATACAACCTGCCAGCGAACACAAGGTTTTCTTTTTAGGCGAAGCGTGTGTGCCAGTGTGTGCGTGCGCCCGAGCTCTGACGGTTTTTCATGGCGCAGGGGAGCTGCGATTGGAGAGCAAGACCTTCGAGTAGAGCAACTTGGCCTGAGCGTCTGTCCATGACCATCCAGCCATCCCCATCCACTGACTACTCTAGCCCGAGACCTTTCACTCTGAATGGGACTCGGACTGTTCTCTCGCTCCTTGCTTCCTTGCCACCCCGCAATGGAGCGCATTCACGGACTCACTCGCCTCCACTCTCATTCACACGCTCGCCCGCTTTCTTCACCCTCCACCCATGGTTGCAGACCGCCACATTATGCGCAAGCCGCAAGGTTTTCCCCGTATGGTTGTCTACAATACCCCAATCTGGAAAGCTTGCTGGTGTTGTTGCTGAAGCATGCCGAAGCGGAAGGCATGGTCGTGCGCGTGCGAGTGGAAATTTGGATGCGCACAGGCTGATCGGTGATCATTTTGTGGGTTCGGCCGTCGCCGAAAGGCAGCCGAGAAGGGGGCCTGAACAAGCAGTCCAGGGTTTTGAGGTCGTCCGTTGGCGCTACTGCTGCTTCATCTGGATAAAGACCTGCCTGTGCGGACAACCTCCAGGACGTACGTCCAGCCCCTATGCGGCGCCCATGCGAGCCCAGCTCCAGGTCAAGCCACGCGAGCACTACGAGTCGAGCCGGCTTGGCTGCCATGCAGAGCTTTCAGCCTTCCACTTGGCAGCAAAATCGCGAAGATAGAGATCTAACAGCAACTTGCTGGGCTAGGCTTTCACAGAGGTAGACGGACGTGCCTAGTAAAGTCTGTCAGGGTATAGGGGCAAGGACTTGGGATGCATGAGCTGCGATGTCGCAGAAATGTTGCCGTGGCAAGTGGTAGTTTTTTGGCCTAATTCTTGATGCATGCAACGTGAGCTAGTCATGGTCAATGCTGCTCGTTGGAAAAGGAGCGGCTTCGGTGCTGTGTTTGGGACTACTTCAAAAG